CAAAACTCAAATTTAACTCAACTTTAACCCAACTTCACTATCCCCAATATTATCAATATAATTAAATAATATCAACCAATAATTCTTACACATTACATCAACTTTAATTCACAATTCATCCTCTCACATAATTTTAAGAGCATCTATATCGCAGGCGTTCAAAATTGCCATTTAAACGCCCCCCCGCGTTAATATGGATGCGGCTCATCCATTAAAGGGGGGCTCACTTCCTCGTTCATTTCATTGAACGCGTTCATTGCCTTTATCTTTTTATTTTTCAATTTTTTTTTATTTTAAAATCATATTTAATTATTTGCATGCGCGCATGCTTAGTTTTTTTATTTTTTTTTGTTTTAAAATAATTATTTATTAACTCTTTTTTCTTTTTATTTTTATATTTTATTTATTTTTTTATCTATATCACACTTTCCAATACAGAAAAATTTAAATTTTATCTATATTACACTTCCCAATATGTATCAATAATTTACATTTCCTATCCTCATTCTTTGCCTATAAATACACCTCAGTTTGCCACTTCTCTTGCACCAAAAAATTTGTCAAATCTCTTACACCAGAAAATTTAGCAACTGTTCATTTGCCTAAAAATAATGGATCCGAATAATAGGCAAAATTTTTAAAATTTCTCAAGTTGTAATCCTAGCAATCCAGATGAAATTTCATTCTTCCAAAATTCACAAACTCCGCCGAATTTACCATTTTCACAAACTCCTTATCCTGCACATTTTTCCCACAATTCCCGTCAAATTTTTATTTTATGCAACAACAATCCCAAAATTATCCAAATTCAACCAATATTCAATATTCTTCACAATATCCTCTACAAGTTTTATTTCAAAACCCGCCACCTGAATATTGACAATACATGAGTAGTTAAAATCTGGTGCAATCTTCTCCGCAATAATCGAATCAATCTTCCGGATCCCAAATGAGCAAAGAACCTGATACTCAAACTTACGTTCCAGAAACACAATTCCAAGATTATGAAACAACTATTAACGTTGAAATCCAAAAAACACATGTGTTGCTGCTGAAGGCCGGAAAATACGTCCACAATGGACAAAGGAAGAGGATGTGCAATTGGCAAAAGCTTATGTGACAATAAGTGACGATCCAATTACCGGTAATGATCAGAAGGCCGAAAATACACCTTCTGATTATATTCACAGAAATGCTAATATAATAAGATCTCATTGGCATAATACGATTCTAAAAAAGGTGTATCGATTCAATGAGTGCTATAACAGTATTTACAGTGTTTATCGAAGTGGTTGTAGTGATGAAGATAAATTAAGTCGGGCTTACAAAAAATATCGTATCGAGAATGATGGTGTAGCCTTCAATCTTGAGCATGTATGGAGAATCCTTAAAGATCGTCCTATGTACACACCACAGTGTTCTAATGATATTTTTGTGAGAGAAAAAAGACGAAAATTGATGAGTCTGGTGCCAGCAATACTTCATCAAAGGAGGATGCAAGCATTGACTTAGATGAACTTCATGAAGTGTTTCGTCCCATCAGACAAAAGGCAGCCAAACGAAAGGCCAAGGGCAACGGCAAATCTAACTTTGGTGAGATGGTCACAGAATACAACAACATGGTTAAGTATCTTGCTGAGTTAACTAGCTTGAAAAAAAGCTGAAGTTGAAGTTAAAAAAGCTATTCTTGAGGAGAAGAAACATAGAAATCGTCGAAAAGACTATGATATTTTAATGAAGGACACAAGCCACATGACCTAAGAGCAACGTATTTCTCATGAAAAAATGTGTCAAGTAATTCAAGAGAAGTGGAACTTGTAGATGTTGTATTATCTGTTTTAATTATCCTTGTATTTTTGTATGTTGTGATTGGAGGTAGTGAATTTTTAGCTTGTATTTCATTTAAGTTGTTCTTGTTCTTATTAAATTGTCAGTTAGTCTTTCATTAAATTGTTCTTGTTCGAATTTAAATTTGTAGTATGTCTTTCCACTTAAATTGTTCTTTATATTTGAGAGATGTATTGTCTGTTAAACAATATGACTAATCAACTTGTTGGTCAAAATAAATATCAGAAGATAAGATATGACTCTGAAAAGTTAATTGATTAGCTGACACAAATAAGCATGTCAGAAGATAAGGTATGAGCTGTGGCACGTTTATCAATTTGATAACTCAATTAATGTGTCAGAATATAAAGCATGAGTCATGAATGACAGCCATATGCAATTGATCTATAATAATCAATTTGCTGGTCAAAATCGATATGTCAGAAGATAAGATATGGCTCTGAAAAGTTAATCGATTTGCTGGCACAAATAAGCATGTCAGAAGATAAGGCATGGGCTATGACATGTTTATCAATTTGATAACTCAATTAATGTGTCATAAAATAATGTATCGGTCATGAATGACAGCTACATGCAACTGATGTCTATAATAATTAATTTATTGGTCAAAATCAATGTGTCAGAAGATAAGATATGGCTCTGAAAAGTTAATCGATTTGCTGGCATAAATAAACATGTCAGAAGATAAGGTATGGGCTGTGGCACGCTTATCAATTTGACAACTCAATTAATGGCCAATATACATATACGTTGATGTCTATATATTCAAAGCAAACTCACATATATTTCTTATTCTGCAAATCACAGTTACACACTTTAAATTCAATTAGAATACTAAAAAAATGTCTCAAAATTCATATAGATCTGAGTCTAATTCATCATCATCCACCGACAGTGAAGATGGTGATGACACTAACGATTTAGAAGTTGAAATGATTTCATCAATCGTTCAACGAAGCCAAGAGTTACTTCAAGCATATCAGCATGAAATTGAAGTTCGTAGAAGAAGAAGGTTCATCCAGAGAAATCATGAAGACGGGCATGACAGACTTGTAAGTGATTATTTCTCTGACCATCCAGTCTACTCAGATCATTTATTTCGTAGACGTTTTCGTATGCGAAGAGAATTATTTCTTCGAATTGTGAATGCACTTCAAACACGATCATCATATTTCCAGCAAAACATTGATGCAGTAGGAAGACAAAGTTTGTCACCACTTAAAAAATACACATCAACTATTCGTCAGTTAGCTTATGGAGTCTCAGCTGACCACCTTGATGAGTATTTACGTATGGGTGAGTCAACCGCTATCAAATGTCTTTTAAATTTTGTGAAAGTATGGTTCAAATTTTTGGTGATGTATATTTGAGAAGACCGAACAGTTGCGATGTGCAAAGACTCCTCCAAATGCATGAAGAAAATCATGGTTTTCCAGGTATGCTTGGAAGCCTTGATTGTATGTACTGGGAATGGAAAAATTGTCCAGTTGTTTGGAAAGAGCAATTCACAAGAGGGCATGGGTCTCCTACGATTGTCCTTGAAGCGGTTGCTTCATACGATTTATGGATAGGTCATGCCTTTTTTGGTGTTGCAGGATCATGTACCGATATCAATGTATTATATGAATCTTCTGTATTTAATAATGTATTGCAAGGAAATGCACCAAACATTCATTTTACTGTCAATGGCACGCAATATTCAAGGTGGGTATTATCTTACAGATGAAATATATCCAGAATGGGCTACGTTCGTAAAGTCTTTTCCTTGCCCGTCAGATCTTAAAAGAAAGTTATTTAAAGAAAAACAAGAAGCAGCTCGAAAGGATGTGGAAAGAGCATTTGGGGTGCTTCAGTCTCGATGGGCAATTGTAAGAGGTCCTGCTCGGTTTTGGTATAGAAGAAAACTGAAATTTGTTATGTTGACATGCATTATTCTACACAATATGATAGTTGAAGATGAAGGAGATGTAGTAACACATTGGTACAATGACGAGGATGAAGAGCCCGCACAACCTGTCCAGGAGTCAAATCGAGAATTTCAAAATTATATTCGTAGAAGTTCAGAGATACGAGATAACACAATGCATCATCAACTTCGTGCCGATTTAGTTGAGCATATTTGGATTCATTTTGTCAACAACTAAAAAAAATATTTTTTGTAATTGTACTCTTTTTTTCTTGTGCAATCTTAATTTAAGTTATTTTGGTCTTGTAATGTTCTTTCATTTTCATGCATTTAAAATTTATTATTATAATTTAAAAATATTAAATTTTATTTTTATTGAGAATAGAATATAAAAAATTATATTGAATGAGGGGATAATGGGTGTCACATATGCATTTAAATGAATGTGTAGGAATGTGGGTGTGTGTTTAAATGGAGAGAGATTTAGTGAAAAGATGATGTGGAGATGATGTTGATGAGAGAGAGTGTTACTTTTTGATTGAATGAATGATTTTTGTGTTAAGAGCACTCACAATGCTTTGGGTTCATTCACAAAAATACACATGCCACATAAGAAATAGACTCAGTCAAGAAAAATAAGTACTCCAATGCAAGTGCAAGTAGACCGGGTCCTGCTTATGTGGAAGCAAAAAAAAAAGAGACTCGGTCTAGCTTTAAGTCTATTTTAGACCCAACTAGAAACCTAGTCTCTTTGCATTGGAGTTAAATTTGATACTTTTATATATTTTTGTCCACATTATCCAAGACTTAGGTCTATTTACTAACCACCACTTTCAATCATTTTTCTTTTACTTTTACACCATATCAACTTTAATTATTTTATTTTAAATATTATTTTAATATATCCACGAACAACTAACCATACCAACTTTTTTTCAAAATTAACTATAGTTAAAAAATAAATAATTAATTGTCAGATGAATTCATAAACAATCACCCTAGTTTTTGGCGGAAATGATGGTCAACAACACATTCACTACTCTATTTTCATAAAACTAAACTTGTGAGTATTTTTTCCAATCCATGAAATTAATGATCAATACTACTCTATTTTCATAAAACTAAACTTGTGAGTATTTTTTCCAATCCATGAAATTAATGATCAATATACTTTTTATTTTATATATTTTTTAATTAAATATCATGAAAATTAGGTAACAGCCAAAGAAAAACTACACCTTAACACCGTCAGAAAATGATGAAAATTAATTTTCTCCGAAATGGCCAGCTCACCGCAGATTAGGAGCCAAGCCGAGTCAAAAAGAAACATTACACACTTTCTTAACCACCTTTGACTGAAAAAGGAAAAAGGGAAAAAAATCCGATTCTTAAAATCAGACTCTTGTCCGAAGCGTGTAATCCACGTGCCCCCTTATTTATACCAATCCTCATTTCCTCTCTTCATCGCAAATCATCTCTCTCTCTCAACAGAGCTCTGACAAAAATTTTACCCAAATTATTCTGTTTCATTCTCCATTGTCTAATTAGGTTATTTTTGTTGTGGCCTGTACACATGGCTGATGTCGGCAATAGGAATCCGGCAGCTCGGCGCAAGCAGAGCCGTCTGCAGACGAGGGCTCCGGCATCTCTGCAGATCAGCCCCGTGACGGAGTGGAACGTGGCCATCCCGCTTTTGTCTCCGTTGGTTCAATCTCCCACATCGGATATCAACTCGACGGTCGAGATCAAACCCTCCTGCAATAAGGATCCTTCATCGGCCGCGGAGAAGCCTGTGGTCGTTATGAAGAAATGGCAGCACCCGGCCGCGCCGTTTTGCTATGAGCCGGCGCCGTGCCGGCCTTTTGTCCGTAACAGATGACTATTTTTCTTTCTTTTTTTTTTCACTTCTTTTTTATGTTCACATAAGAAATGGTGGTGGG